TGTGTGTGTGTGTGAGTGTGTGTGTGCGTGTGCGCGCACGTGAGCGTGTGTTCAAACACCAGACCAAAGTGCCAACGTCTGAACTTAAAATTATCTTATCTTATCTTATCGATCGTATCCTACCTTACAAAAAAAACAACAAAACAACCCACCTGTGTCTGTCGTATGATGGTCATGCTCTCCGCCTTTGCACACCGAAGACATAATATGTTCACTTCCCTTCCAAAGAAATTATTTGAATGCAGGGATAATGTATCCCCCCTCAGTCAAGATAGGTCTTGACTGACAGGTTTCCAACAGCTATTGCACGTCTCCCAAATGATCTTAAAAAAAGTGTCTGTGCTGGGCTTAAAACGTTTACAATCATCAGAAATAACTAAAGTAATAAGACAGTATAAAACAGCCTACAATAAGGACGTGAAACACGGGAATACCATGTGTAAGGCAGCGTGGTGAAATCAGGCGCTTGTCAAAATAATGGAATTGAAGAAACAGGCACTTTTCCGCAGGTTTGTGATTTTTTATCAAATTTTCGTTTTTTTTGGCCGTACACCTTTCATGCCCATTAACGAACTCATTTCGGTGTGGATTTTTTTAAAAAACGTTGATTACAGTCACAAAAAATGTAAATTTTCAGTTACCTAGGACTCTTAATCTAACGAAATAACTAATCTTTGGCGGCCATTTTCTCACTAATTTTACCTCTGAAAACAGGTGACCCCCACCTCCTTTATTTTGCAAATATGTCGACCTGCATTCAAGATAAATGGATATTTTTTTCATCCAAATAAAGACAAGTGAACAAGCTTTGAGATGATACCAATAACCTCATATGCTCAAAATTTGTCGAGAGCCTGATTCCACCACGTCGTAACACATATAGGTGGGGCTACACTCCTTCAGTCCTGATTGGCCTCAAAATTATTATGGATTTTGAGTTGAAGGCGATTTTAGCTTCTACGGCCTTTGCTACAACTATTTCATAGCCTTAGAATCCCCCAAAGCCGTATTTCTTCCCATACCGGGCATGTTTGTCACCACCAATTCCTCATAAAGTCAGTCTTTTATTTTTCTTTATCGCTCGTTTTCTCAAAACGCGGTTTTTCTATAGCTATATACTTTTTGAAAGAATTCCAACATTTTCCACCCAATGTTCATGAACTTTTCACAGAATGAAGGGACGATACAATACTAAAAATTTGTATATTGAATTTTTGATACTAGGAATAGATTTTTTTTGGTGGTGTCTGGAGTGTGGATTTCCACGGACTTACCTCAGGATAAAATTCATTAAAAATTGTCTAATTCGTTAAGGAAAAATTCAACTGATCACTTTGTAGATCTAATGTTTGCTAACATGTATGCAAAAAATATAAAAAGAAAACCCAACTTTTTTCAATGAAAAATAAGTGCAATATTCATTACGTAAGACATGTCAGTACAATCCAATATGGCCGCCGTAGTCATAAAAACGAAACTTTTTTTCTCAAATTTGATTGCTGATCTTAAGACTCCTTTCTATGTTTGTTATATGTGTGAAAATTGATAAAACTTGATCCATTAATGAGCGAGAAAGCCTTCAGGTGTACCCTCCCTCCCCCCGTACCCCCTTAAAGATAGGTAACATACACGGAGACAATACAAACGATATCTATTTTATTACGATACGTACATGCATTGTATGTGACTGTTTGTATGTGTGCATGTACATCTATATAGAAAGACAGGTAGTTGAGTAAATATGCAGTAAGGTAGTATTAGATAGGCAGGCAGCTGTACAGAATAATATGGGTAGACACGTTTTTCTGTTTTTCTGTTTTTCTGTTTTTCTGTTTTTCTGTTTTTAAATTAATAAGATGAATATTTGGTGTGATTTTCTTTTTGTCAGAACACAACGTTTTATGTTACTGTTGTACGTTGTACTGTATTGTAAATGTACTTTAATCGGGGTTGAGCGCTATATACGTCATTTCTTCTTCTTCTTCTTCTTCTTCTTCTT